TTTGCCATATCTGTTGGGTCTGCTTGGATGCTTGGCCCTGGGCACCACCACCGATGGACCCATCTCTAGGGTTTTGCTGCTGATGATCCAGTGACATTCCCGTCTGAGACTGGTAGAAGTTTGGGTATCCAAGTGCCCCAAAATGCTGCGAAGGCTGTTGACCTTGCCGGAATCCACCAGGCTGTTGACTCTGCCCCTGGAAGTTGTAATACGTGCTTGCTGGAACAGCAGACATTGTTCTAGAACCAGGGCCATGAACCCACATTGCTGAGTTTTCGTTCTGAAAACATGAAAACGTTCATCAAGCCTCAAAAAAGAGTTATCAAATAAATAGGAACATAATGTCTATGGTGCACTACCAAATAGCCTGCAAATTTGTTCAGTCAGCTGAACATGCTAACACATGTATCTGCGTGTTTATAAAATGTTGTCACGCTTTCTCTGTTTAAAATTGATATTACTTGTGGCTGACACACTTAATTCATGTTATAGGATTTAACGCGAGGGACTGACTAAGGTTTTCCACCTTAATTCCAAACCTACATCAAACCAAACCCAACCCAACCTGCTCATATATGAGTTAACTCATTCCAACCTGTTAATATTTTATTTAATTTAAATGAATTAATACTATAATAATTACACAATTATAGGTAGTTACTAGAAATGAAATGCCAACCATGAAATCAATCAATAAATTATTGACATTACTATTCGTCCTCTATTGAGAAATAACTACAGAGAAGTTGCTATTATCGAATGATCTGTTTCTTACATTTCATGTACCTCAGGGTAAAGCTTTAATCACGTCCAAACCAGTTAGGCATTTTTATCTATTTAGATATGATTTTTACCTCAATTGTTTTATTGACCCATTTATGACCTAAATCCATTTACAAGATATCACAATTAATTAAATTGCTGCTAAAACCTGCAACAGTTACTTTATTTGCATTAAGCTCAACAGTGGTTGGTAGGGCAATTACCTGCTGAAGCGACACCAAGTGACTGCTGTCCTTGTAGTGGGAACTTAAGACATCATCATAGCTGATGGTAGTGCCTGCAGGAGCAGTTGGTGGATTCAGAGGAAAGTTTCCTCCAGGAATGCTGCTTGAACTTCCAAATCCGTAGCCAGAGGCAATGGCTGCAGACTGAGGCAAACTGCTAACAGAAACACTGTTTTTGTACTGTGGGAGCACAGCTGCTAGAGACTGATGGTATGTGCTGTTACCAGCAAATGCTTGCTGAAAAGCTGAGGGCATGTACGTGTAACTCTGAGGCAAGAATGGATAGCCAATCATGTTGGCAAAATGTCCTAGTGGAAGTGTAGGTTGAGAATAGGCGTGCATGGCAAGATGTTGTGGAAGAGCAGGTCCTGTAGCAACACTGGCAGCAGGCAATGTCTGTGGAGTTGGCAGAGGTGTAGAAATGCCTCCAGCTCTCAGTGCCTGCACATATAAAATGTTAATTCCATAAAATAAGGAAGTGAATCTGGTAGAAATAGATAAGGTTAGACTGAAAACAGTTTTTTATTTCATTTCCAATCTAAGGGAAATGATTTTCTAATTCCTTCTTGGCAAGTAAGAATCACAAAATCCATCTACAAGTAAGTTGAAGTAGGGAGAAACTGGATAAACAGGGAATCCAACATGAAGATTATGATCTAGTTCCAAATCAAGAACATTAAAACATCAAAGAATATGTGCGACACAAACTGAACCAAACAAAATCTAGGAACACTTTAAAAATGAATACACTAAATTTTTTGGGATAAAAGAAGAAAATACACACCTTCCTGCAGCTACGCCAAGACTAGGAAACAGAAACAAGAGAAAAAGAAGAACAAAAACAAAGGAAAATTAAAGCAAGATTGCATCCTAGTCCCTTCGCAAAATAGTTAGAGCACCCACTGCATCAACATCCCCCCTTCCCAAGAAAAAGAACGAAAAAGAAGAGAAATACCATGAAGAGAAAGACAGCAACAAAAGGGATTCTAATTGGTCTTTGAAAAACTTGAGCACTTTTTTAACACCACAAAACCTACAAACAAAAAAAATAGCCCCAAAACAACATTTCCTTATCCTCATCCCTACAAGATCGTAGAGGAAGAAATAAAGATTTAAAGGAATTGAGGACAAACCCAACTCACTAAAAAGGTTTCAATAAAGCCTGTCCCATTCTACAAATTCAAATAGAAGTCCTCTGCAAAATAAGAGAGAAGAAAAATGGAACCAAACAAGAATCACAATCAATTCAATTGCACAGAAGATTCAGTAAAAAGATTACAACACTATTATAGACTTCTAACAAAATCTTTCTGGGAATACTTTATATGGCACAACTACAATGTATACATTTAAGGTTTAGATACAGAAAAAATGCCACAACAATGAATAGCAACTTAGGGTCCACTTTTTGTGCAAGTCAGTCAAAATCTTTTTGAAAGATAAAGTGTAAACTATAATATTAATAACAGCGCCAAGGAGGAGTCACACCATGTACAAAGAATTTATATATCTATCAATGTGTCAATCCTCTCTATCATATGAGGGTGACACAATATCGAAACTAAGGATCTGAAACCATCTGTTCCTAAGTAAATCAAAACCATTCACATCATCGACCCCATCAAAATTCTTTTTGTTCCTCTCTTTCCAAACTGCCTAAAAAATAGTCGGGCAGTATTAAGTCCACTTGTTTCCTCCTCCTGATGCCTTTCCATGCCCAAATTCCATCTCATCCGATTCTACCATCACCCAGCTTATGTCTAAAAGCCCAAAAACTATGGTTCAAAGGCTGTACACCACCGGACAGTAAAGCAATGCACGTTTGCAAGTCTTCTCTATCCTCTTGCAAAGATAACATGGATTCACCAAAATCGTATTCTGTCTTCTCAGTTTGTCAATTTTCAAAATGCACTCCTTCCAATCTCCCACGCAGACAATGATACACGAGGTAAACCTGTTGCCTTCCAAATTTGTCTCAACAGAAATCTGGTACCATTGACTTCGTGTTTGAATAACTGCTTATAGAAAGTCTTAACTGTGAAAGACTCATTCTTAGTAAGGCACCACCGAGGCTTGTCATTGCTTTCGTCCAAAATCACAAGAGAGAAAGTGCTTAACAATCTCTCATATACATCAATCTCCCAGTCACTCAAATTTCTCAATACAAAAATCTGTTCCTTCATCCACTACCCCCCCACCCACACGAAAGAGTCATAGATTTTTACATCCTTCTACTGGGCTATGGCAAAACCCTGAGGATATTGGTCCCTGAGGGTACCACCTTCCAGCCACTAATCCTCCCGTAGTCTAACTCAGTCTTTGCCAACCTTCTACCCGATGCACTCCTGAAACTTATCTCCACCTACACCAATCTTTTTCCACATGCTTTTCCCATGAGATCTCGTCCCCACTTTGGTGAACCACAATCTCTCATCAGTGCCAAATTTAGCTGCTATTGTCATTCTCCAAACCACTCCTTCCTCTTTCATAAACCTCCACAACTACTTAGGAATGAGATCCATAAAAAGAATAATAGCCAAAATCTCCTCGTTGTTAGGGGCCAAAGAATGTCGAGTAATATCATCATGTGGGGCCTCGTTTCTCATGGAGTTTAAACCAACAAGAGTATGTTGCCTAGTCAATATGAGCAATGTCACTGCTTGCTACTAAATCAGAAGATCCATCACTAGAAAACTCAACTTCATCAACAGAAATAACAATCTTATTGACAATATTTTCCACTATCTCAATTACCTCATTTGTGCGAATACTTTCAATATCGTTAGTTAATTTTTGATCACTAGGTTGCAGCACTTCCATAAGATTTTGCTTAGTAACCAAATCATTTCACTCTTCCATTCGTTTGTTATTCTTCACGCTCTATTGAAGTTTGAGATATATTAGGTTCTTGTGTAACTAAAGATCCAAGAGTTTCTCTATATTGTCTTCATCTTCATTTCATACATATCAATCTTATCTTTTAAATCCTAGATAACTATTTTTTTTATCCTTCAACATTTATAAGAATAAGAACTGTCATGGTCCTCTTGTGATTTCTTGCTTCTTACGAGGGAAACACTTGTTTTCACTATTTTTTATATCGGGAAATAATTTTATATTTCTATTTGACAAAACATATCCATAGTTCACAAAAGTTTGCTACTTTACAGAATTCCCATTAATTTTAATTTTCTCTATATTGATCAAGCATTTCGTATAAAGCATATGATAAATCATCATTTGTAACTGAACCATCTACTTGATAGAATGTAACTAAAAGAACTTCCCTCTTGTTTAAATCTATTCGACGCTCCTCTGACATAAAACAAACTTTGTCTGATATCAACTAGCAAAAATGAATAACGAACAAAATTTGAGCCAACTAAACTTAAAAAGCGAAAGAACACGTCCAAAAGAAAAAACTCAATGATCATTTTTAGAGTACCTAAAATAGGTCTGGAGGTGGCTGAGCCAAGCAAGGTGAATTGACTCAGGTCAAACCAGTTTGAACAGGTCAAAATTATGCTTCAGAACACCAAAAGTCCCGTGCATTGGCCAGCCGTGAGAATCATGCGTTGGCTTCCAGTAAGCCTCTGGAGACAATCTTCTGACAGAGGACTCAGCTGGATGCACTGATCTTGGATAGGAGTAGACGTTACTCACCAAGGCTGGGAAAGATTGGCTTTGATAAAGTAGTGCAAGGCACTTTAAGTGGAA